ATCACATTGTATAATATCGACAGCATCATCACAACCTCCGGCTTGGTGGAAGTCCCCAACCTAAGCCACGTGCACGACAAGAAGAATAACAACTCACTTGCCTATCTGCAAGCTATGTAAGTAGCTACTGTTATATTTATGTGTTCTACTAGCGTGCTCGAAAAGAATCCAGCTTGATCAAAAAACTTCGAACTTGATCGAAAAGTATTGAGCTTGCCCGAAAATTGTGGAGCCTGATCAAAAATGTCTTATTCGTAAAGCTCAAACTTCTCAGTCAAGTTTGTAACTAATTTATTCTAATTCTAATTAGAAATAAATTTGTGCATTAATAAATCTAGTTAAGTTTTATAATGGTCAAGAGTATTTCTAATTAAAGTTATTTTTATTTCAGAGACCTAGAAGGCAACCACATAAAGCGCCTATCGCCGCACGCATTGCGCGTGCGCGCTGATCAAGTGTAAGTCCCTAGGTACATACACACATGTGCTATTTTATTTTCATTTCTATGCATGATTTTCCAATGATTTGCTGCAAAGTTTTATTTTAAGATTATGTTACTCACTCCTCCGATAGGTAACAAGTTCGGGGGAACATGCCACGAAAATTCCCATATTCCCACATTCAGGGGAAGACGGAACTGAACCTGATTGTTGTAACACATAAGTAAAGGCGAGAAAATTGTTTATCGAAAAGGAGGACGTTCTTAATTAGATAAAGTCTAAATTATGCGTATAACTTTTTACTGGGTGAACCGATTTTGGCGATTCTTTTTGTAACTGATTCTTGCCATGTGCCTCAGAGCCTGGTCCATCAAAATTTGATCGAGATCAAAGCAGTAGTATTTATGTTATCCTCGTTAACGCAAATGTCCGCTAGCCTCCTACGGGTAGTTACATACAAGTTCATACAACGTTTATCAAATATTGTCACATGGCGCATAGAGAAGCCTTGTGCAAATAACTGTAGTTAATCCGATGTTATCTGTAATCTAGCATTAATTAGTTTACATTAGTAATTGCACCCATAAGTGAAAATTATTATCTTTATTACCGCACCAACATACCTACGGAATGGTTGCTATGAAATATTACCTACACAAGACATTCCTGAGAAGTAGGTACTTGTTATGTTTAAATATGTAACAGGCTTTTCTTTCCCTTTTTCTAGGTCCTTGAACTACAACTTGCTAGAAGAAGTGCCTGCTTTTGCGTTCAAGAATGCGCAGATTTCAAAATTGTAAGTTGTTGTTTATACTTTCAACTGCTCTGTTTTCTGACTACTGTCTTTACTGACATATTTCTTTATTATTTTCAGGAGTTTCAGAGGAAATACGAAATTAAAACATATTGATGAAAATGCCTTCGCATCGAATTTGCTCCTCCGACAATTGTAAGTCACCCTTAAACAAAGCTTAGTTATACAATTCAGAAGATACCTTATATTCATACATTCCATTGTTTCAGAGATTTAAGTAACACCGCTATTACCTCCCTGCCTACCGCAGGACTACAGAACTTGGAAACCCTTAGAATAGAAAAGACACCTTCATTGAAATACATCCCATCGATTTACGAATTTCAGGTCAGTTACTTAACGCTTTTTACAACAGAGAATAATTGAGAACGTGTGCTGAGGGTACTGGTAGCCTGTTATGAGGTGATGCCAAGTAGAATATGTTATGTAGATTGGCTCGACCAGGGCAGTATCACCCTCTTACAGACTACCATCGTGAAGTAGTACCTAGATAACTTAATGTTGCTGCTTTTCGTTTGACCGTGACAAGTGAATTTCTAATCGTCGATCTATTTGATTACGCCATAATTTTTCGGGGAAAAGGGTACACAAAAAAGATTTTGCATTAGCAAACTCATAAAGAAATCTCAGAATTAGCACAAATGTAAACATGTCGTCTTCATTTCCTGATCAAAACAAACCTATTGCGTACACATCCGTTTCTAAAATAAAGGGCAAGGTCACGTCTGTGTGCCCTGCAAACATAAATACCAGCACCCCTTACTTCCTGTACAAATGTTATGTGACTCAGTAATGGCTGACTGCTTTCAATGTAGTTTTAGCATGTTGCTAGGCTCGGCAACACTGGTGATTTACGTGTTAACTAATAGTTTCTGTCATTTGCTTTCTTGCTTGATGGATTAATAGCTGAATACATTTTAGTTTGTGTAGTGGCAGTAGCTTTATCTTTTTTTTTGCTGTCTAGCTGCCAGGCCCGCGAGGCCCGGCCCGACATCGCATGTGAGCTGTTTTTCGATTACACCAATGAGCAATGATTCCATGGTATTTCTATCATAACCTAACTACGGTGCTGCAGGATGATAATCACATTAAAAAACTATTCAACAGTTAATAAAAATTCCAAATAGAGTCCATGTAATTTTTTGAGACCAATATAAATCGGAGTATGACAAAAGTTCACGCTATTTCCCCCTTATCAAATCTACGTTTCCATCCTCAGAGTCTCCAGAAAGCGTACCTGACGCATCATTTCCACTGCTGCGCGTTCCACTTTCCCGAGCGACACAACCCAACTAGACACAAGCTCTATGAAACGCAAATTGCTATAATGCAGTCGGTAAGAAGAAAAATCTTTCACATTTTTTCTCTAATCAAGATTCTGCAATTTTAATAATCACCAAAAATTAATCGATGAATACTAGGTACCCAATATGAAAAGTTGTATTTTGTCAACAGAAATGTGCGAGCGCTAGTCAGCAGAAGAAACCAGTCGCCAGAAGAAAGAAGAGGTCACTGGCACCACTCAAGATCGTTATGCCTCAGCGTAAAAACGATACTACGTAAGATCATGATTTAGATTAATTTAGAACTAGTCAAAGACAAAATTATTTATTTTAACTCGTCGAGTACCGGTTTTATAGACACAATTAAAGAACAATAGGTCGCGGTCACCGGTGACCGCTTGGTCTTTGACAGTTTAATTAGAGCAGGAAGGTGAACTTGTGAACGTCAAACAAAAATTATAGTGTCCGTGTATCTGTCAGCCCTCTATTACAGCGAAGCTATTTGCTCGTTCCAATTAGAACCTGTCACGCAGATTCTTAACAGGCAGTATTCCTTCATATGATCTTACGACCTTTATTTCCGTACATGGCCCCTATTTTTCACCGGTTATGAACCCCATGTAGGAAATAGACGATTCTGGACACACAATCAAATTAATAATTGTACTAATAAAGTACCTATCTAGATCTCAAACATACCTGCGACACAAAAGTAAAAAAATATTTCCGATTCCAGAGACTCATTAGAGGAAGACCTGTCAACAGCGACTACGAGCGAGGAGTACGACGCTAACTTGATGGACGAGTACTTCTCAGACTCCGGCAGTTGGGAGGACGAGGACGACCAGGGAGAGTTCCACGAACCAGTCAACAACACGCTCGGGGCTGGCTTCGCTATCATATCCGCTGAGTGCGGGAACTTCAGTATTAGGTAAGGCCCTTAGTTACTGTTGTTTAGATCATGTACTCCTGATAGAGTATTTCATTTTCACATCTCAATTTTTTGTGAACTACATTATTTTCTCTTTTCAGCCCACGAAAAGTGGAATGCTTTCCCGCACCTGATGCACTGAATCCGTGCGAAGATGTGATGGGCTGGTCGTGGCTCCGAGCGAGCGTGTGGTTCGTCATCACGGCGGCGGTGGTGGGCAACGTTGCCGTCCTGCTCGTCTTACTTACAAACCACACGGAGATCACAGTCCCGCGGTTCCTTATGTGCCACCTCGCGTTCTCTGACCTCTGCACAGGCCTCTACCTGTTTATGTTAGCCGTCGTAGACCTCAGGTCTTATGGAGAATTCTTCAACTACGCCTACGATTGGCAGTACGGGGTCGGCTGCAAGATCGCTGGCTTTCTATCAGTATTTTCTGGACAGTTATCAGTAATTACTTTAACTATAGTCACATTGGAGCGCTGGTTCGCCATAACTTATGCAATTTATTTAGAAAGGAGGATCTCTCTATCAGCCGCAGCTAAGATAATGATGGGCGGTTGGTTGTACTCCTTCCTGATGGCTGGCTTGCCGCTGGTCGGCGTGTCAGACTATTCGTCTACGTCAATATGTTTACCGGTTGAGAGCAAGGACGTGGGAGATGCTGTGTACCAGGGATCGATATTTATAGTGAGTGCGTTGGCGTGGGTCACGATTGTGGTGTGCTACGTGCAGATATACAGGTCGTTAGGGGGTGGAGAGAGTTACGGAGGGAGAGGGGCGGCTGCAGCCGCTGAGAGACGAATTGCGAATAAAATGGCGCTCCTCATCGGGACCGACCTGCTGTGCTGGGCGCCTGTGGCGTTCTTCGGCATCACAGCTCTAGCAGGAGTGCCGCTAGTCGATGTCAGTCACGGGAAAGTGTTGCTAGTATTCTTTTACCCTCTGAACGCTTGTGCGAATCCATTCTTATACGCCATATTAACGAAACAATACCGAAGAGATTTGATAACGTTGATAGCACGGACGGGGCACTGCACCTGGTTAGTGGAGAAGTACAAGTTGGCGGCGACCCCGCCCCCCACCGCGCACACTAACCCCTCTGCGCCGGCGCAGCTGATGCCGCTAGTAGACTCCGTCACGTATCAAAGGAGCCAGTCACAGTGTAAAGACAGTAGTGAGGTACCGCTTTAAGTGTGTAGTTGTAATTAGGTTATGTTGACATTATTACATGGTTATTTATTTTTATTTTTGTGTTTTATTGACCCAACAAAAATAAAATTCGTGTTTTTAGATAAAAATGCGAATTCGAATGGACTTACCACTACACTCTAAAATCAGGGTGAGATGCACAAGAAGCCGGACTAGTTGTAGAAAAGTGTCTGTGGAGTATTAATGTCTACGAAGGTATATCACCCTGTAAATGAAAATCTAACATCTTAGAACAAAAAAAAAATGGAATACTTAAATAAAAAATGACTGAACTAATAAATGAAATCAAGTATCTGTTTATACATTTATTTACAAACCTTTCAGTTTAAGAACAATTGTGCATGTTCCTCTAACTCACTCAGTGCATTGCTATCAATGTACTCGACTATAAGTCTGTCACCTTCCAAAAGAACCTCATTCTTCATCAGCTCCGATATTTCCACATCCATCTTTACTGGACTTATGCAGTAGCTATCTAACTGTCTGAACAATCTTAGTTTAACAGAGCTCATTTTATTATTATCATTCTTTATATTACAAGAATCACAAATGCTGTCTATAGCTCTGCCTAAGCTCCATTTAGAACTGATAAATACTGGAACTGTGTCTTTAATGTCTGGGTCTAGAGTCACAGACTCAAATTTAGTAATGCTGTCCTCTTCCTGGACTATTTTAATTGGCTTTGGTTCCATATTCACAGGCTTTTTGATAGCAAAGTAAACTCTGTCCGAAGCTGGTATTGTCTTCGGACCTACTGCTTTTTGTTTTATCCTCATTAATTGGATCTTTGATGCTGTTTTCACTTTAGCTGATGATTGGAGAGCCTTGCGGATGTTCTCTGTGATCTGAGGACAAGAAGTTTCCAGAAGTTTTTGTTATTTATTTTGAATGGCTATATGTAGATTAATATCACTCTATATGGACATCTAATATCTAGATAGAAGGTAAGTACTTGTTACCTTTTCTTGTAAATGTTTATTGGCTTCCCGGAATTGTCTTCTTGGAGCTTCAAGCTGCTCTATTTTGGCAGCCATGGTTTCATCATCTATTTCTGGACAGGAACTAGATAAAATATTGGTGAAGATAAATATACTTTCTTAATTCAGTATGAAAAAAAAAGAATGTAATACGTTCAAATTAAAGAAAAAAAATATTGCTGAGATGTTTGACTAAGAACATAATGAGAACCAATTACTTAAAGTTTTGAAAACCTGAAGGTACATACTTAGTTATTTCTTAAAAATTATAATTCAATACTTACGGATGAAACCTGTGTTCAATACAAAAGTGTTTGTTACACTTAGGACACAACATTTCATGAAGGTTTCCCTTCCGGCATCCTTTCTCTGAGCACCGGAATATCTGATCATCATTTTTGAGGTTAACTTCTTTAGGTTTTGGCGCTAATTCACATTCACCGGACAAACAATGTTCGTTAAAGTGCTCGCGGCAGAATACCTTGCCACACTTGCATTGGAGAGGTAGGAAATCTACCCGGTTGCAATTCTGATATTGGCAGTGTTCACCGAGGGTAGGAAACTCCATTTTTATATAATGATCGTGATCTTCAACGTATAAACTTGATTATCTTTTCGATTTCAAAAGCACTTAGTAGGCACTTTATATAAAGAAATATTTTTTTACAAATAAATTAAAATCACTGTATCATCAATTCATCACAAAAAAATGGAAACAGAAAATAAACAAGAATATCACATTCCATTCAATATCAAATTTATCATTCCAATCAGAAAGAGACAAAGACAGCCATATACTTTTGCCGCATATATGACACGAACAAGGAAACCAATGACGTTGGAAAATGCTTAAGATGCTTACAATTGATAAATTGAAATGGAACTTTTATGTCAATGTTTTTGCAGAAAAGCGAAAATGACAGTCATCGCTTTCGTCCAGAAAGATTTTCATTCTAGGCTCAGAATTGCTCAGAAATTTATAGGATGTATATTAGCATAGAGCAACACGGAGCAACTCCGGTCCGCCGGTGGCCCGTGTTGCTCTATGTATATTAGTTCCATTCCATGGGATGGAGGAACACGTATTTTTAAAAGTTGATGGATGGTGGATGGTTAAACATGATTGAATCTAAAGAAATCATAATTATGTAATTTCCATATATTTATTTAAAATTCACTAAAAATTTACTATAAATCCTTACTTAATATTAAAAATCGGAAAGTGAGTTTGTTTGTGTGTTCAGCTTTCACGCCGTAACTACTAAACCGATTGCTTTGAATTTTTGCAGACATAAAATTAGAAGTCCGGATTAAATAATAGAGTACTTTTTATCCCGGAAAAATTGATATTCCTGAGGGAAAACAAAAGTATTGGTATAGTATTATTATAAAATAAAAAATAATATATAAATATAAGAAATAGGAGCCGACCAGTAGCGGGAGCATGGTCCAAACTACCAGTGGTTAGGGCTACAGTACAGACACAGAAACCTTCTTACGATACGTGCCGTTTCTAGGAGAATTGCTTACTGCATCAGGCCCTTGATCCATCCACCTAACGCTAGCATCCTGAGATGAATGTCGAGGCTTTTGGGAATTAACCCACTGGCCGAGACGACTTTCGTCACAATGATAGCCGAGCACACTCCACATGTCGACAACCTCATGAGCTATGTCTAGATATTGTATTTGTTTATCTTTCTCAGCTTTCACGAGGTTCTCGTCATGGGGATTGGTGAAATCGATTTTCATCGTGCGGCGTACTTATCGGTCTAACACCAGTATGTCAGGTTTATTGGCTACAATAGTTCTGTCAGTAATGATAGACCGGTCCCAGTACAATGTGATATGGTAATTTTCCAGAACTAGATCGGGCACATACTTATAGTACCTACGGTACTTTTGAACTTGACAAGTCGATAGTGCAAATCATGTTGCTGATGGATAATCTTCGCTACTTGATTATGCCTATGCAAATATTCACTTTTAGTCAAACGACCACAACCAGAAATAAAGACTAATGGATTCACCAGGACTATGACATGCCCAACATATGTCAACCGTTCCCTCCATATATATTTCCGGTAGTTATTCGTAAGGATAACTTCGTCCATTATTGCACAGACAAAACCTTCAGATTCTCCAAAGAGATTACTGAATTGTAGCCAAGACACGGACGCTAGGAAATCTAGACTGGGTCCATGAAGTGCTCGGAAGAAGCGCCCGTGGAGCTCCTTGCTATGCCTTCTGGGTAAATATTATTATAATATCTCAAAATCGTAGTAGTTTGCCATCCCCAACATTGTGTGAGATATCCAGAGTGGAATTAGATAATAATTATATAATTAACCTCATTTAGAGGTACTGGAACAAAATTTTTAGGGAAATGCATACACATAAGTAGTTAAGCAATTTTTTATTGCAATGAAAATAAATTAAATTTGTTTCACTTAGTACATTACATATTTGAGTCAATTAAAACAACCTATTACTAGGATCTTAAAGACAAAAATGCATTTACAGAGGTAGAAGACCACTGACGTTAATATTAAACTTTATGTAACAATTTAAAATTGCTGGTTTATGTTCTTTATTTATTCTGTGGTAAGTATAAAAAAACCACTGCTTTATGGACGTGTACAACATATAAAAAGATGACATGGCAATGACCATACAGCAGTAGGATCATGCTGCAGTTGAACTTGTAAGCTGAAAGCACAGTTCAACAATAATAGATTTCCAACCACATACAGTTCATAAATATAATTTCAAATAAATTCTCTATTTCAAAGGAAATAAGCTTGATAATTGCATCACAATTTGCGGCTGGTTTTTCTAAAGTTTTGTTCTATCTACATGAGTTTCAGGGTCTCCATAGCGGCCTGTAGCCTTTCGATTTCACCCTGAGATTGCGCTAGTTTCTCTGAGTTGGTCTTTTGTACTTCTGCAGGGACCTTTGTCGTGTAGTCCTCGGCTGCCATTGCCTGTTGTAGCTTAGTTATGGTTTGGGACAGAGCATCTTTCTTCTTTTCTAGTTTTGTGATCTCCTTTTGTGGGTCGATGAGGCCCTGTGGAGAGGAAAGAAGGCATAGCTTTACAAATGGGTGATTTTAGTTAACGAAGTAGTAACAGTTTAGTAAATTAGTAGTTTAAGTTTAGTAGAAAAAGTTCACTCGTTTATTACATTCTACTAAAAAAGGTGAGGAACTTTTGTTTAACAATAAAGGTGGAATACAATACAATAAAGAACCTTATAGAAAAAGGTTAAAAAAATAACCACATACCTTCAACACAAGTCGAACTTCAATCTTATCAGACACGGTAAGGATAGAGCATCCAACAGGAGGCTCGTCATCGGACAGTTCACTGTACGCCAAGGACTGTAAACTCCTGAACAGTCCTTTCAGGGTGTCCACCGGCAGGTCCTCAGCAATGATGAGATGGGCCGTGGTCTTTTGTTTGTTAGCCAAGTTGTATTCAGAACGAGTAGACCGTACTAAATGCACCATTTTGAGCACTGTGTCTACATTAGATTCTAGTTCTTCAGACCTCCACGGCGTGTCGGCATCCTAGATAAACAAAGATGTTATTTTAGAAATATACGATAGTCGAAAATGTCGTTTTTCATTTTGCGCAATTAGCACAAGTGATTGCGCATTTACTTTATTACTTTTGCTCATTTTAAACATATTAGGGACAATTTAGGAATTGGTTTAGCTAGAGAAAAATACGGATATAGCGCAAACTTAACAAACGTGGCGTTATTTGATCTCGGATAAAATCGTACGTACAAATCACAACCTTCAGCCATTGCTGAGTGCTGCAATGGGTAGAACAATAACAATATTAAAGAAGCTAAATTTAGGTAATGGTTACTTACAGTAGGATAACTAGCCACACAGATGGAAGGACAGCTGGTGTCCTTCCGGGGCAGTCGTTGGTACAACTCCTCAGTGAGGAACGGCATGAACGGACTCAGCAGCTTCAGTCCCAACTCCAGTGCGGTGTACAGGGTGCGACGCGCTGCAGCTTGAGCTTCCTCGGAGCCAGACGCAAATACTGGCTTTAGGTATTCCTAAAAGAAAATATAATAATATGGGTGTTTTAGAATAGGTTTAAAACATGGATTCTTCAAGAGGGGAGTGAATAGGTTTCTTAAGGGTCGACAAGGCGCATTTAATGCCCCAAGTATTGCAAGCGTTTATGGCCACGGTAACGGCTTACATCAAGTAGTCCGTGTGCTTTTTTGCCACCACCGTGGTATTTATTGTGGTATTAAAAAAAAGTTGAAGTAACTTTAAATGAATAGTTGTAATCTAAGTTGGAATATTATAATTGTTTTATTTAATAATACAATCGAAATTTTGTACCCTTTAATTAGGTATTTAATAAACGAGTACCATTGAGTAGAAATGTTATCGACTTTACAATCCAGTCTTTAATTAAGTACGCGATTAAATTCAATTTTACTTGTACACAGTCATATCACATTAACTAATTAAACACAAAGAAAATACAAGATTCTGTACAAATTATGTGTTTATAGCTTTTTATCGATTTTACCATGGTAGTCATAGTTTTTATTACGAAACCCTTAAGGACTATTTTCGAATAACAAAATATAACACAGACTTACCAAGTAAACATCACAGAGATCATACAGCCAGAGGTTGTAGCAATGTGTAGTAGCGGTAGGGAAGTCATACGCTTCGAACCCGGCGTTGACTTTGTTCACTGCGAACGCAATACGGGATAGCATCCACTTGTCCATCGGGGACAAGTTGCTGGGTAACGTTGGCGTGTGGACCTATAAGTAAATAATTATTTATTAGCTGGCAAACACATCTTAAGGCGGCTCTACACATTCGGTTGGGCAGCCAACGCTGGCCCCAACTACGAATGCAGCGCCAAGTAGGCCTCTACACATCGGCTCAACCCGCGGGCCCAGTGGCACAATTTGGAGAGCCGCCTTTAAGTAATATATGTTTCAATATAAGTAAGTGTTTGATCCAGATCTAAGGTTATTCAGTTGACTTTGTATTGAAGCAATTTAATTGCTTACTTGCGCAAAAGACAGAAAACATCTGTAAAAGTGGCGCATTAGGTGGTACAAACAAGATATGTAACTTAGACACAGCTAGTGCAGTTCATCCAGCAGTGAAATAGACCAACATAAAAGATAATTTACACAAATCGACCTACATTAAAAATAACAAAAGTTTTCTATGTTTCTCAATACAAACCTCATACACGGTGTCCTTGGGGAAGTACAGTAGCGCGAACTTGGTGGCGTTCCACAGCTTGTTGCAGAAGAACCTGTACCCCTGCACGCGCAGGATGTCCAGGTTCAAGTCACGACCTTGAGTCATCGCGCATAAGGCAAACCTGGAAGAAAAAGAGATTTCCTATACATTACTGAAAATAACATCACATACATTGTTTTTTGTCATTGTGAAGGCAGAAGTACAATATTATTTTTGCGCAAAATATGCGCAAAGTTAAAATTCGTTTAAAACGAGCACCTAGCTTCAAAAACCGACAGACTGATGGACAATTCAATTTTAACGTGTAAACATAACCAGTATAATCTAAACGTTATCTAAATGTGCGGAAAGATGATGCGACGCAACACAAGGATAAACTGGTTTTGTATAGATTGATGTGTGGCTGTGTGTACCTAATTAAGGATTAATTGAAATAATTACTTTATCTACATAGCCCAGCATAAACTATCATGCAGTGTAACATATATGTAACACTGTTGGAAGAAACCACATCTTACCTAAGTGCATCAGTCCCACACTCGGGTATCCCGTTGGGATAGTCCTGTTTCTGTCCTTGCTTGGCCTTCTCCACCTCGCGCGGGTCGAGGTTGGAGTCCTCCAGTTGTTCGTGTAACTGTTCCAGCGTCACTCCGTGCACCACGTCCATTGGGTCGATGACGTTGCCTAGAGACTTGGACATCTTACGTCCGTGGGCATCACGGACCATTGGGTGGAGGTAGATTTCTCTGTGGAAATGTTTTTTAACCTTAGTTTACGTTAGAATTGACAAATTGCAAATGATATTTACTTTGAGAACTCAAGTTTCATGCATGCTCTTAATTTGGTATTTCGTAACTGATCGTTCCGAAAAGAAACACTGAAAAAGCTATGTGTGAATCTCAAAAGGGAGCTCTTTTTTTTAAGGGGGGAAAATCATCGAATGTGTCAGACTCTTACTGACTAAAAACCATTCCGTTCCTTCTCTTGCAGAACCCGTTAGGTTCTCCGCGACCGTTAGGTTTGACTTGATCTTGTTTGTTTATGTCAAAGAAATTACCAGAATTCTCTATGGTATATATCATAGAATTTTCACGTGTTTTGTAGATACTTACTTGAAGGGCAGTTTCCCAAGAAGGCGTTGACCGAAGAACACCATGCGAGCGACCCAGAAGAACAAGATGTCGTGACCAGTTTCCAAGAGGGATCCAGGGTAGAACGCCTGATCACATACAGTATATTCTATATATTGAATACGTAATAACTTAAGACTATTTAAGTTTTGTTTAATAAATTCAAAATTGTGGCTTATTCTTCTTGTCCTATAATATCTTCAGATTTATTTCGTTGCGGGATCCAAGACAGTTATTCATGTCCCTGGGACGTGCCGGACTTTAGTATTCCATGTTTTCATGTTTCCATAGTTTTCATGGTTGTATTTACTGTAGGTCCCGGCTTACAGGAGGTGCAGCGCTTTTGGGAGGATGTGGTGAGCTTGTCCAATTAAAAAAAAAAATAAAATATCCAAAACGGATAGAGAAACGATTTTTTTTTCAGGAGAAAAATGATAATTATTTTTATATTTCAAAGATACTATTTTTGAACTTCAAGAGTTTAAATTTACTAATGCAAAACACGATTGGTTAAGTACAACTCATGAAATATACCCACTTCGCGACCTATTCATCAAACAATCCCATACATATTCAGGAACTAGAAACTACACCCACCTGCAGATCTTCAGTCTGTTCTGGCCACCCGAAAATAGAGAAAGTAAACAGTCCGGACGAGAACCAGGTATCCAGCACGTCTTCATCCTGAGCTAGCTTGATGTTCTCAGCAGAGACATTGTATTTCTTTGCAGCCTTCTCCAACGCCTCCGCTTCACTGTGTGCTGATACCCATAGTTCCTCGTCGTTACTCTATTAGTGGGGCATAAGGGTCATTTTAGTATAACGATTGTGGGACAGCCACGACTGAACCAGTGTGACCAGCAGCTGTAGTCAAGAGAGCTAAAATGGCGTTTGGCTAAAGGCCCTGATGTGACCGGCCTCACAGAAAGCCGCGGCGTAAAACAATGCTTGCGATGTGAATAAGGTTACCGTTTACAAGTGGGGCAATCATCCACCCATCTCCAATTCTCTAATCCGAAGGTGCCGATGGACATGATTTCCGATTGCTTTACCATCAGGGATCTGTGTCCTCGTTTGCTTGCTGCAATTTAATGTTTCCAAAAAACAAATAATGTACTCAAAAGTCATTTAGATTTTTTCACAATAATCATTTATCCTCTGGTCTATCTGACTCAAGTAATCTACTCACCTCAGCCCCAGCTAACGTGACTCTGTATGCGGGTATCCTGTGCCCCCACCACAGTTGCCTGGAGATGCACCAGTCACGGATGTTCTCCATCCAGTGGTACCAGGTCTTCTCGTACATGTCCGGAATAATCTTTAACTCTCCTGTCTTTACTGCTTTAATGGCCTCAGCCGCCATGTTGTCGCATTTTATGTACCTGTGTTATTCAAATTTTTATGTATCTGTGTGCGTGCTTACTGTCGAATAAATGATTTTTCTTTCTTTCTTTCAAGTGGTTTAGTGAAGGACGGCGGAGATGTGTATAGCGAGAAAATTCAAACTAGTTAAACTTATGATGAAAGTCAGACATAACACAACATAACATCACGCCTTTTATCCCTGAAGGGGTAGGCAGAGGTGCACATTACGGAACTTAATGCCATTGTACGATATAACACCCACTTTGTACTATTTATGTTATGAGTTATAAGTCAAATACTGCAAATTAGATTATTTTAAGCATTACAGGGTGTTATTTATTTTCATTCATAGATTGGATAAACGTTTTTTTTATTGTCTGCCCAGTAGTGGGTTCGTACTTTCTGTGGATTTTTGGAAATATGCCCCATGATACAATTAAACTTACTACCATGACCAAACATGGGTTATGTATGATACTTTAGCATACTTTATTCTGAAAGAGCAACTGTCGTAATATCAGCATGTATGTATACTGACCATTGTGGCTTGAGCATGGGTTCGACTACGTCCTTGGAGCGGCTGCACAGCGGCACCACCATGGCGTGCTCCTTGGTCTCCTTGTACAGTCCCAGCTCGGACAGGGCATCCACTATCTTACGACGCACGTCGTAACGCTTCCAACCCTGGACAATGTCAATATTGCAAAGTTTGTTAATTTTCTGGACTTTAAAAGACGGACCTTTGAGTTTCTATCGGCATTTCTTCTTAGAGTAGTCAGTTAGGATTAGGAAATTACGGCCTTATCGTTCGCTTAGTAAAATTGACGTGTAAAAGTGCTGCCTTGTAGCCTATTTGCAGAACTAATTTCACTCGTTTCACTAGTACTTAGTTGATATTTAAGTAAAATATAAAGACAAGGACGAATTTAAAAGCTGACGGTAAACGTGCAGGAATGAAAAGAAACTTTTTTTGTTCACCTGCAGCTTCGCACGAGCTACTCAAACCTTCCTCAATTCTTCTTTTATATAGCTTAAATTTAATTGAATTTTACATAGTTATGAAAATTAAAAAGAAAACGAAATTTCTACCATAATTCCTTAAATCATAAAATTATTAGGTATTAATTATTAGGTAGTTAAATCTCATGAGATTTCAGAAACAAGGTGTGAGTTATACCTGGTTGGTTATTAGAGTCGGCCCATCAGAGGGCTTAGTACCAGTTTGTTTTACGTTGAAAGTAATCGAAACGAGTAAGCGTTCGGCGCTGTGATTGGCCGGCTCCAATGAACCAACCAATCAGAGCGCCGGACGAGGTTTCGATTCGATTACTTTAAACGAAAAAAAAAACTCGTAGGTACTAAGCCCTCAGAGCGCTGAACGCGTCCTCGTTTCGATTACTTTAAACACAAAACAAAAAAATCAAGTAGTCACCGAGTATTGTCCACAGTTGGCCGCCATATTGCCGTCATCAGTGAATATGGTAATGAAGGGCAAGTCGTGACGCTTGGCAATCTCGTAGTCATTCTGGTCATGTGCCGGCGAGATCTTCACCGCACCTGGAATTATTCTAAATTGGTTTATTTTGTAAAATCATGGAAAACAGACTGACTGATGTACAACGCATACGCATCCAGTCTGTTCGAGCCTTAAATTTACTATAGATTCATAATGTGATTGTACTTTATAATTATAACTAGTATAATTCCGCCGCCCGCGACTTCGGATGCGCAATCCCGTTTTTTCCCGTTCCCGTAGGACTTTCTGATTTTTTTCTATCATAAGAACCTTCTCCTGCCAATAACAAACACAACAAAAAAAAAATCAGCCATATCGGTCCAGCCATTCTCAAGTTATGGCATGACAACGGGAAACGGGTTTCATTATATAGACAAGTTATAAAAGTAAAATATCATAGTGATATCAGAAGGATCGTTTTTGTCTTTCATTCGGCTTCTTTCACTTAAAACGATATGTCTGACTCTGAATATGAGAATGAAACAAGAGTGCAGAATTAATTCATTAGTGAATCGATCCATGATAGTGGATTTTGGCATTCGGTATCATTCACTCCCACTCCGAATGAACAAAAAATGACCTGCCTGCACACGGAGTGAACTTTCATTCGGATTTGATTAGATGATCACAAATTAAACTGATTCCGATACACATGATATCACTAAAGTCGTCTGAACATGGAATGACAGATAAATGAAACATCGTCTGTGGTGACTGGGGACTGCCTCGTTGGCCGAGTGGTCGCAAGTGCGACTGCGGGGAAGGGGTCTCGGGTTCGATTCCGGGGTCGGGCAAAGTATTACAGGGTTTTTAAATAAATCTCAGTAGTAGCAGTAGGAGTCTGGAATTGTGTCCGGTACATGGCAATAGGCTCACCCCTAATACATTGGATTCATAACATAAATAGTGAAAAATGGGTGTTACATTGTACAGTGGCATAGTGTGCACCTCAGCCTACCCCTTCGGGGACAAAAGGCGTGAAAAGGTGGTGGTCAAAGGTGTTATGTTATGTCACTGGGGTGAATATTCATTTGAGTAAACAGTCTGATATCACCTTTAGAGAAAATGGGTCCTAATCTCGCTCCCATTACTTTTCGATATTAATATTCTACTGGTGAAAATTGGGCGTTTTATTTACACCATAAGTTCACCATAAGACCCCTAAGTGATCAATAACGCAATATACAGACCGGTTCCGAATTCCAAGTCGACAGATTCGTCCGTGATGACCGGAATCTCTCTGTCAAGGAATGGATGCTTCAGCTTCTTGCCAACCAAGCCCTTATACCTGCCAACAAAATATTTCTTAGTTAATAAATATCTCTATTATTCTGTGTATTATAATTCTATAGCTGTCATTAAACAATTTATCAGTTTCACTATGTTCCGGAGCGCTCACCATGTCATTTGTCGTGCAAAGTTCCTCGTAACTATGAGCCCTTACCTTAGTATGAAACTAGTTGAGTTAACTTGTCAAACAGTTAAGTAATTTGAAAAAAGGAGTGCTATCCTACAAGGTTGTTAATGATAGTCGATACTGAACTGTAAGCTAAAATATATAGAGATGACATTACAAGAGCACCTACCTCTCGTCCTTAGGGTTGACGGCGACGGCTGCATCAGCGAGCATGGTCTCCACTCGAGTGGTGGCCACCACTATCTCGTCCTTACCGTCAGTCGTTCTGTACGCGAAGTACACTAGCACACCAAACTCTACCTATGAACGAGTGAATTTACATTTAGTAACAGCACTGAATTAACATTAAGGTATCGCTAGAGCAAATACCTTTTTCCAGCTAGATCTAATTCATTACTTAAGAAATTTCGAAATTAAAAGAAGTCAGAACACATTTTTTGCGTTAACTAGCAGCTAAGTTAAGAAACAAGTAATAATGAAATTACATGTGCGTCCATTTAGAACTTTAAATCGGCATGCAGTGGCAATTTTCATAGGTATATCACTGATAGACAAGTAGGTGTATATCTTTACTTCAAACTTACTCAACATAAAGTAGGTAAGATTACCTTAGACTGATATCCAGGTATATTCATCAATGTGCGTCCAGTCAGTTCAATTTTATCTACTTCAATATCTGATATGGCACTCTTGAGCGTGCAGGACCAGTTGACGAGTCTGTTGGCGCGGTAGATGTCGCCAGCGTCGTGGAGGCGGATGAAAGCTTCGTAGACAGCTTTACACATTATCGGGTCCATTGTGAAGCGGACGCGGGACCAATCGTAAGACGAACCGAGAGCTCGGAGCTGCTCGTAGATACGTACGCCTTTTCTAAAGAAGTAAATGAAACAAAGTTTGTGAAATTGACTTATTGAGCGGTGTTCGCGAACGGCGCATTCGTCGGATCTGAACCATTTGATTTAATTCGCTGAATGTAAGTGCGAAAGTGTATATTTGTAACTTACTCTTAACTAATGTTTAGCACATAAATTATGTTTCAACATGAATTACTGTAAACTATACTTTATCCGGACCCTTGAAAAAAGAAAGAAATGTATTTAATATCTCTGAATATGTTACAATAGGGTGTAATAGAACATCAATTGAACAAAATCAAAAGAGACTCACTGTTCCTTCCACTCCCAGATTTTCTTGATGAACTCCTCTCTGCCGAGATCATGTCTGGTCTTCTTCTCTTCACGCCATAATTTCTTCTCCACCACGACCTGCGTGGCGATTCCTGCGTGGTCACAGCCTGGGTTCCATAAGGTCGTCTTGCCATTCATTCTGTTGAGAAAAAACACACTTATTACATGTGACATGGGTATTATTTTCCTGTTTTACTCACAATTCTCATTTGTTGATGAACTTTCATAAACTAGGCAGAGACATCCTTGCAAAATGGCATATTTAGCACATTTAATAGACTGGAATGAGCAGATACATGAAAACTAAAGATGTGACGGCATCTTACGAATGGATCATATTATTATTCATATTAAGTGGCACTCTGTAAGTTCAATCTGCCACTATGAACTATGGCGCATCAAGCAAAGCCATCAGCTGTCTCACCCAGGGGGAGAGATGTTAAAACCTGTATTGAAAATGTAAATGGGTCTTAGTCTGCCTTACCGATGCCACCGTGTGAGAGAATCCTGTACAGCATTGGTAAGAGCGTGTCCCAGGTGAAGTGTACCGGTTACGTTAGGTGGTGGAATTACCATTGCAAACTTTCCTTTCGGGTTTGGTTCAAGGATAGACTTACGCTGAAAACAAAATACATCATAATTATTTATGTAAATTCCAATTACTTTATTTGTTCAGCTGTAACATGTTTATTAATTTTGAATGGGAAGATGAAGATGGTTTAATATAAGCACATAATATTTGTAAATTTTTTTATCTTTTGAATTTATGCAATAAAAATATAAAATGTTCATAAGCCCTGATAAAATTCTGATTAACAAGAAAATTGATGAAACCATTGGTCAATATCCTATGATTTCCTTACTTTCAAAGTTTGAAAAGAAATTCTGAATAAAAAGTATTGTTGGACTTTAAAACAATCTAATTAGATTATTTCTACCTGACTGACTGCCTCGTTGGCCGAGTGGTCGCAATTGCGACTGCCGGGTAAGGGGTCTCGGGTTTGATTCCCGGGTCGGGCAAAGTATTACTGGGTTTTTAAAAAATTCTCAGTGGTAGCACGGAGTCTGGAATTGTGCCCGGTATATGGCAATAGGCTCACCCCCTATTACATGGGACTCATAACATAAATAGTGAAAAGTGGGTGTTACATTGTACAGTGGCATAATGTGCACCTCTGCTCACCCCTTCGGGGATAAAAGGCGTGTTGTTATGTTCAGATTGTACTTACTCCATATTCTGGTTTGAAGAAGCCTTGCTTCTCCCACCAGGCGTACCAGGCTGCCTCGACATACCGAGGGCTGTATGCATCAGGCATTGAACTTGTAACATCTTTCTTGTCACCCTGAGCAGTTTCTGCAGTGTATACTGCACCTTCTTTTAATTCCTTAACTTTTTTCTGAAAACAAATATTAGAAGACATAAATTACTAGTTGATAACAATAAACTCATATCTTAACATGTGTATAATGATAAGAAAACAATATTTATTATGTCTTAGATTGTGAATAGTGTATTATTTTTTTACCCATGCTGGGATAATGCCGTAGATGCATTTAATTAAATTCATTGATATGTGCATTACACCCAGAAAATTATATGAGTATTTACACATAAAATAATTATGAGTCATATTATTATTAATAATAATGTACACTTTATTAAAATTACCTGCTACTAACTAGACAAGTGATCTCAATTCATGTGTTACAGATATCTCGTCTGTCAATTAGAATGACACAACACATACTGGTATTACTTTCACCAGGGGAAGTCAGGTAGCATTATATTAACCTAAGAATTTGTTGGCACAAAGCATGACTTCACTACTCAAAACATTGCATGTTATAAGTAAAAATACCAAATAAATAACTCATATGTAATAAACCAAACGCATTGCCATTCGTTTTAGATCCAGAAACACTAACCTCTGGTTTATCTTTCTGCACAGCTGGCGCAGCACTCTTTTTATCCAACTTAGCTTTAAGTTTTTCCAACTTTGCAGCCTTTTTTGCTTCTTTCTCCAATTGTTTCGCAGTCTTCTCTTGAGGCTGGTCCCCTGCGGAACCGTCTTGTACCGCCTTATCAGTCATATTTAAATTAAAATAGAAATTATAAATGAAATTAAATAAAGAACGGATCCAACCAATAAGTAACTCTATCCACATTCCGCAATGTGATGTGGATACGAAAACGATTGTACAATCGATATGACTGACAGTTGACAGCGGACAGTTTTGTAGTCGTTTAGTAACTCCTAGTTTTTTTAAGAATAAAAAAATCTCACGTTCAGAAATTTATTCTACTTAATGTTGCCATGTAAAAAATCAACTAATAGTTTTTGCAAATGAGCATCGGTAGTTTACCTCGTTACTTGACAAGCCAATCTAACGCCATTTTGTTTTTCGTTTCTTGCTGTGTGCGACTGAGGTGTGCTCTGTGCTCGCAAAATTTTATTTCAAATTCATACAGTCAAAAATAGATTGAAAACGTTTTGTCTTCTTTTTATTCATTGGATTCATCACGTCGGATAAAATGTCGGATCGAGAGGTACTATATTTAACTGTAGTTTATCACGTCCGTGTCGCATTCCCGCCGCGTGTGTTTTATTTTGTCGGCGGATCGTTCTATAATTACTAACGAAAATATCACTTCGGTGCTTTCAGAGGAGTCGTTCCAGGACTCGCAACGGGTCTCGAGAGCCGGCACCCAAGCCAGCCGCTATGTCGCGGGGCCATAGCCGAAGCCGGTCTAGGACGCCGCCCCCGCCAAAAGCATCGAGCAGAAAATATAGGAGCCCGTAAGTGTTGATTTTGTACATTGGGTTGGGAAGCTTGTTTTGATTAACCTATTCATGTGACGATTTGGCATTGTAAGTTACCAAACTAACGAATACTTTATAACCTCGATCTCAAGGGTAACGCTCGTTCGCGTGTTGCGCAATGGTGTGTGTCGTTAAACTCAAACATAGTTTACACACATCTCGGAAGTTCGCATTCTGTAGTCATTTATTCTAGTGGTCGACCTTGCAGATATTTTAGCGATTCGCATTATAATCCGTGGGTAATGTCTGATCGGAATCGTAATTGCTTGTTTTCGGTAGCAACACAAAATATCGTAGCAACAGTTGGAGGGGGAAAAACAGCGCACGGTACTGATAAGAAAGTAGTAAATAAAGAAGTTATTGTTTACGGATCTAAAAAATTATTGATGGATTAGGTTTCAAACAAAAATTTTGTTCAGGTAATTTCATTGACTTCTACAGAGAAACTATCTCCAATGATAAAATTATATCAAGAAATAGTTAAAGTAAATCCCACTGCGTTGACAAAATTGTCCGAACACAAAATAAAATACCACATGTCTGATTCCCATTGGACTATCCTGTGTTAGTTGTGTGGTGATTTCCACCACAGTGGTGTTTTAAGGATTATGTGGTATTTTACACCATAGTGGTGATTTAGGGGAAAAAGTTTTATATGTATGAAACACGAAAATGCTATGACATAACTAAATAATGCTTAACTAATCTCTTAATTAACACTAGCTATATAACTTGACAATATTAAATACATAATTGAATAATTAGAAATGACTGTGTTATAATTACCTACAATTACTGTGTGACTTTATAAATAGGTACTTATAGGCTCGTTATTAAATAGTTTTACTAAAAACATCCTGTTATTATCACATAATTTATTAACAGATGGAATATTAACACTGTGTGGTGTGTTACAGCTAATAATGCTTTATCATGCATTCTTATTCACAATATTATTGATTATATTTTATGTCCCCTATGTTTGGTGCATTCAATTACTTAAATAGTGTGACTATTGATGATCAATAACATTGTGTTCAAGAAACCATAGCAACAATTTTTGTGTACTAACTAAGCTTTCTGGTTACCCCTCATGTAATATAGCATTCTGAAACAAATTTTAATGTCTACAGAATAAAGCTCATAGTTGTATTAGTTGATATTGGATTTTGACATTTATTGATGAATATTCTTTTTTATGACCCATTTAAATAATATATTATTGATTATTGTTGTGTATGTACTAGTTGTACTGTCCCCTTGTCCATTGAGTCAAAAAATAGAAATAAATAATAATATATCTTGGGTTCAACTCCCAGATTTGGACCATGTGGGATTATTTTATAATATGGTAATATTATTAAACTGTATTTTCTATCATTCTCTATAGATATAAATAAAGACTGTAAATGTCAACATCCAATAACCCTAGTGACCAGAAGGCAGCTTAGCTTGATGCATTGGCTTTGTGTGTGTTGCATGTTAAATGAGCGTTCCCGCTGACACTAGGTCCGCCTCCAGGTCGCGGTCGCGGTCGGGGTCTGCGCGGCGCGGGTACCGTTCGCGGTACTCCCGCTCCCGCAGTCGCTCGTACTCGCCGCGCGGCTCCTATCGCCGCTCCCACAGCCACAGCCCAATGTCCTCGCGTCGCCGCCATATGGGTGACAGGGTGAGGAGCGATGTTTATGTGAATACCTTTTATAATTATTCCAAATCCAATAGTATTAAGTTGTCCCCGCATGCCAAGGCTTGTACAAAGTGGCCCATGTTTTCTTGTATTCTTGTTGTCATAAGATTTACTCAAGTCATCCCCATTGTAAGTAAATACATAAACATTGGCCATTGTGTGCTAAAGCAACAAAGAAATGTTGATAGCAAGCACAACTGTTTGCTATTTAACATATATTGTGGAAGACGACTTTCTGGGGAATGTTCGTCATTACAGCAATTGGCTAATTCTATGACAAATCATTTTTGTCACCGTAGGATGCCCCCCAACAGCCAATTGCGCAACTTAGATGTAAGAACTAGTTGTAAGATAGGGTATTAAAATACTATTTGAACTTTGAATTAAGATGCACTTAATGCAAATTCCCATTTACATTCAGTATTAAAATAGTAAAAAGTAATGCATGCATGTGATGTTTATATTTGATTTTGAATACTTTGAATACAAGTAGTACAAACTTTTTTTTTTAAATTCTAGTATCTGTTATCATGAATGAAGTTTGGATCACTGAAAATTTGAAAACTATTTGGTGCTAAGAACACATTATTTTGAGTAATACAGGAAATACTGGACTGTTTATTCAAAACAGGAAACTAAAGAGAACACAAAACAAAACAATCTTTAATAGTTTTCTGAAAGTTATAACAAGTAAGGCTCGCCTACAAGAAAATAGACCCCATGTACCGTCAACAGGAAAATCCCACGCCGTCTAGATGTCTCGGAGTGTTCGGACTGAGTCTGTACACTACCGAACAGCAGATCAACCACATCTTCTCTAAATATGGACCCGTCGACAAAGTACAAGTTGTCATTGATGCTAAGGTGAGTTATTGTTTTGTTTATCTGTTTATTCTTTACATTACTTATTATTACCATTATTTTACTAGAATAGCAAAGATAAAAACTTTGAATTTGAACTGTAAGTTGAAGGGAGTAATACATGTTTGTTAAGAACCCAACAATGTCTTCCACCTGGTCATCGTTGTACTTCATTACAGACCGGTCGTTCTCGTGGCTTTTGCTTCGTGTACTTCGAGAACCAAGAAGACGCAAAGGTTGCAAAGAACGAGTGCACCGGTATGGAGATAGATGGACGTCGCATCCGCGTCGACTACTCCATCACGCAGCGGGCGCACACGCCCACACCTGGCATCTACATGGGGAAACCTACGTGAGTATGAAGTTCTAGTATAATCATCGTTTTTGGATGATTATCGTCATTCGTCATAGTTTGTTGGAAGGTTGATTTTTCTTGGATAAACAGGATAATAATTCATGATTAAATGGAAACAAAATCTGCAGTCCAACATAGAAATTCACACTTATCTACTAATGTTATGAGTGACTCCTATGTGTTGGTATAACATCACTATAAACAGATTTAGAGTAGACTGTCTTTAAGCTTAGCATGTTTATTTAAGGCCTGTTTGTACAATAATTTACAGTTTCTGTAAAAAACTTGGCACATAAATTAGGCACAGTGGTTAAACATGACTTTAATTTACAGTGTGAGCAGAGGTGGCGACAACGGCTACGACAGACGTCGCGACAGGGAGTAAGTACTGTTTGATATTTGCATACAACATTAAGTTTTGAAGCTTATTCAAATGTTAGAGCTCTAGCTTTGCTAGTTTCGTAATGAATATTATTAAATACTTGATAGTTTTGATGCGTACGTCATGTGGATGTCGGAATTAACGAGAATGTTGTCCCCAGCGACTACTACTACCGCGGAGGCGGCGGCTACCGCGAGCGCGACTACTACCACCGCGGCTACAGGCACCGGTCGCCGTCGCCGCACTACCGCCGCCGGCGCTACGAGCGAGAACGCTCCTACTCGCCGCGTAAGTCCTATTACCACCAAGAGCGATAGGCTTCCACTCCTAACCCAGCCCCACTCTAGCTAACCACTCACCATAAAATCTCCTTACAATCTTATTTACATATTTTTACAATTTATCCAGTGGCATACAAGTTCCAAATAAAAAGCCAGTGAATTTATTAGCCAGCACAATTAGAACTGCAGATGCAAAATCATAGGTCAACTTTCAAGAGGCTGCTAGAAACATGCCAATCACACACTCTTGACCAGTGATGAGCAAACTTTCATCAAAAACAATTTAGTGGTGAATTAGTTTATGGCAAAAAATAACACCTCATGGCCTCGCAACTGTCAATGTAATGAACAACTCAGCTAGTCGACCTGATTCCTGGACCCCTTTTATTTTACTTGTCCGGAAGCACACATTCACTGTTGACTGACGATGGTTGCGTTATATACTTTTTTGCGAGCTGTGGTTTGCCCAATACTGTTCCAGACTGTTAGCGTAATTACATATTCGGAAATATTTACTCTATTTTAAACTATATATCTGTGCATTAGGACATTTTGTGGTAGTGGTGAACTAATTTGTCGGGTTCGAACATACAGGGCTACTTTAACTCTGTAGACATTACTAGCAACAATAAAGGCTAGTTGAATTGTAGTCATTCTCTATGGTGGTGGGCTGAAAGTAATTACAAAATTGTAATAAAAGAAATTAATGTGCATACAAATTGATGTAATTGATGAATTCACGATGTGACATTTTTCTTATTCTCTATCACAACTCGATAAATATTTGAGTGTAAGCACCGATATGTCGAAGCAGGTCCCCAAGTGGTGGGCCAATGCTAAAAATCATAAGTTTGCAAATAGCGTGCCATACGCGATAATTGTGTAAATTCGATAGCAATATGTGTAACAGCTTCTATTGGCTGTGTAGAGTCAATTATACTATGTAAATAGTGAATTTAGATAGATTAATATTAATTGGATGAAAGGAGTGTACCATCAAGTTTTACAGAATTAATACCTTAAACTGAAGAGTCTTATTTGTTATAGTTTTAGTAGCCCTGTTACTTGCTAATTGTGCCCCTTATGTGAGAACTTTGTATGACTATTGAAGCTCAAGCTTTATTGTACAAATATTGTATAATATATATTTTTTTGTTTTATTTTTGACACAAGTCATTATTCGTTCTTTTGTTAATATAGGTTATCTTGAGTCAGTGCACTCAGTTTCTATTCATTATAATTTCAATAAATTCTAATTACTTGAAATACATTTTGATGTGTAAGGGTGAAACCTTAGCAAAACAAGCAATTGTACTTATTCAAAGATACCTTTTTCATATACCAAAGAATGGGCAAACATTGCTCTTCCATATATAAATTGGTAAATAACTCCAAAACTTCTGTATATAATGTTTGTGATTGTATGAAGTGGGGTCTGTCTTTGAATCTTTGTTTTTCTTTTAGTTTAATTTAAGAATAAGTTTTTAAATGTCTAATATATTTTTTTCTATCAATTTATTCTCTTGATATTGGGCTTGGTTCATGAGTTCTGAATCATTTACTGTATAATCCATGCGCGTCCGCAATTATTATGTAACGGCGATTACATGACGTCTCGCTGCGGCCAGCTGCCTCGTAAAACACCTCAGCACTGGCCCGACAGTAAATCGTCATGTTCAATTTATTACTATTGAGTTGCTTTGTTATCGCGCGCTCTATGCGCGATATAATTTTCCCTAGGTACTGTAACAAACATTGTAAAATCCACTAGTCATTTGTGGAGCATGGAATAAATTGATAGAAACATAATGTTGCCACTTGACACGTAGCTCCATAATAAATGTTCTGGTATAACACATAGTTACTCCCCTCTTTGACTTTGCAGGTCGTTATTAGTAAGTTCGTGATGCTGAGTTCAACTTCAGACATAGCATAGCATTTTATACTGCAACAGATCCCAACTATGTGTCGACCGGCTTCTATGCATTTATAGTGTAGTGTACTGGCCGGTAGTGGTAGCCGTATTGTTAACGTTTGTATACATTCTGTAACAGGCGGGCCGCAGCCGAGCGTGCGCCGGCCGCGCGGCCCCAAGAGAGAAGCTCCTTTGTGTTAATTATAATGTGATGAAAGGGTCTAGACTAAGTTAGCGTGTAACGCCCGCGCGGGCATAGTTGCCTCTAGGATGTAAAACTAGCTCTAATAAAGATTTAACACTAAGTCTAATATTGATTTTGTTTGTTTGAAAAGGTATTGAAACAAGAAGTAAAGGATGAAGTTCCTTGAAACTAACTGTGTTGAAGTTTTGAAAATGTTTGATTGAAAAGTCCTTTCGAAATGGCGCTCGCCGGAACCGGGACCGGCAGCCGGCCGCCGGGCGTCCGTCCGTCCGTCCGTGACGTGTCGCAGCCAACGGCACCGGCTTGTCGAAGCGAAAAGAATATGATCGAGTTAGCCGCTAAGTAGGAAGCCCAAGCTTTGCGAAGACATAGAAGAGAGAAGTCGCGCGCGCATAGATCATATTCTTTATCTTCCGACTACCGTATATACATTCTAACGTTGTGGCGACGTGACCTCGCATTTCACGTGTTGCTTGCTAGTTACATAATTATGTATTATTATGTATTCGGTTGTATCGAGTCTGGCATCTCACGTTATTAGCGTAGCGTTGTTGTACGACTTGTTAATAAACAATAGTTGTAACGTCATTATTGGTTCTTCTTCATTCACTTTGGTTCGTCCCACCTACTCTATCCATCGCATCCTTTCTCTCGACTGACGCTGCGGAGGGTCTAGGGCAATCGAGGCGACAACTTATTGCTTATTGTGTCATAATTAGCATAAATCAAGCTAACATGATGTATCTATTCTTGCAAGCTATGAATAACACAGGCTTGTAATAGGTAATAATGTCCTACAAACATAAGTGACTTGCTGCAATTTAAAGAAGAATTACTAGAAACAAATCCTAAAATCCATATTATTCAAGAGTTACCTGCCTGGTTACAGAGTCCAATCATTCCCTGGTCCGACGTCAGCGTCGTCACATCCTGGCAGACTGTATATTCTGCTTTTATTTTGTATCTATTTTATTATACTACCTAATTATGTATGTAATATTGACGGCATTTAGTTAGTGTTATATTAATAGTAAATAGTTCATTGCATAAAAACTGTAGCAGCAATATTTAATTAATCTTTGATGTTATAGCTTACTGTAGAATGCACATTGCTGTACTTTGGGAAAGCACATAATTATACTAATATAATAAATAGAATATAATGTAAGGGTATGGTTACTCACTAGGCAATCTACATCTCGGATGTTCTTAATAACGGTATGTGCCTAGTGCGTATTCCAAACTGCTATTATTAAAACCATAATGAAAACTACAGTTTTTATGCAAGACATTAGTATTAGAAATAGAATGGGTATTATATAGTAAAATAATATTAACCAAATTCTCTCTATCAGATTTTTATTAAAATTCTTAACAATATTTATGTATAATTATTATTATTATAAATATACCACATAATCGTGTCGTGTTGGCACTCACCATGGCGACTAGGCTAACCGCTGATAAACTTAAATACTCTTAAAATATACAAATAACATTAAAAACAATACATGGCAACATATGATCGTTTTGTTTAGCATTTGATTGCATTGGACGCGATTTCATTTCTGGCGGAATTGTGTCACTTAAAGCTACGGGACGTGGAATGTGATATGATTTGCATGTTTGATTTGAAGTCTGCCTCATTACTTATCCAAACATGATGTCTTTTGTCATAAATTCACCCTTGTATTAAACGCCTGTTATGTGATGCCATATTTGGCACAAATAGCACCTGTTTATGTTCTGCCTAAGCCGTTGTCAAATGTATCAATAACCTATCTGAGAACAGCTTCAGGAAGAGATACGAGAATATTCCAGAAGTAATGTATACAGTTTTTGTACGACTTCAAATCCAACAACTACTTAACATCTGGAATGCTTGCATATATAATACTGCTAAATAAAAGTACGCTTTAGGTACTTGTCAAGCAACATTACAACAATATATACTTACATCTAAGGCGGAAAATACTATAAAGTAGACACTATAAATATAAAAAACAAAACTGCCACTTTAATAATCATTTCATACGATAATGAACCGTAGTATCGACATTTGTTACGCATTGCAATGCTTTACCAAATTAATATATAAAGAGTAAAATTACATGCTCAAAACCTACAATCCATTATCGCAGAAATTCAACTGCTTATGTTCCCAGTTCGTAGCAAAGAACAGCTTTTAGCGAAGATACTACAAGATAAATTCTGGAAGGACTAGAGATTTTTAGCTGTCTAAGAAAATAAATATAAAATTTGGCAATACCATTCTCTGTAGCAATACTAATCTAGAATTGGCCGAATAACTTATTTTCTAGTGGCAAGAATAGAATGAGCTCGAAACGATTAGTCTACGATGCAGTTGCTACATTACTGCAAGGAATATCTATATAGGGCAGGTATGTACTAAATATTACTGCTGGACCTACACAACCCTAATGGTTTTCTCCCGTCGTAACCTACAAACATGTCCTATCGGATAACTACATATTTCGTAAATAAACTAAGCCAAAATGATTTGAAGTTTCATTACATCCTTTACCATCTCTACAGACTTCTATGAAAATTATAATGAGTATAGAATTTAACCGACTTATGATTGCATTTAATGACGAATAATATACTACTTTGTGTAGTCATATAAAAATATAAAATAAGTCAAATTCAGCATCTTTAGTGGCACAGGTATTGTGTATAATATCATGTTGGTGCAGTACAGCAGATGTAAAGCTGCTGAATATTGTAATAGCTTTTAGTACGTTAAGCATTACTTGTATATAAACAAAATACTTTTTCATACAGACACCATTGACATTCATAAAAAACTTCATCTAATTTTTCTTACAATTAACAACAATTTGGCAATATTTACAAGCTTTTTTATAGTGGGCAACCTTTTACTGCACCGTATGC